TGGGACGCCTCCAGTGCCGCGTTCTGTGGGGTTGGGTCCCTTCCCCGGCGTCCCTGTGGGTCCGGGATCTCTCCCTGTGCCTCGTTCTGTGGGGAAGGGCACCTTCTCCGTCCCCTCTTTGGGCAGGTCCCTCTCTCTGTGCCGTGTTCTGTGGGACGGGGCTCCTCCTCCAACCCCCCCTGTGGAGCCGGGACCCTTCCCTGAGCCTTGTTCTGAGAGGAAAGGTCCTTCCTCTATGGTGTGCTTGTTCTGTGGGGCTGAGACCCCTCTGGAGCCCTGTGGGTCTTTCCCTGTGCCTTGTTCTGAAAGGAAGGGTTCGTCCTCCACCCTCTCTTTGGGCAGGACCCCTCTCCCCGTGCCTTGTCCTGTGAGGCTGTGATGTGTCCCGGTGCCCTGTTCTGTGGGGAAGGGTCCCTTCTCCATCCCCTCTACGGGATGGAGACCCCTCTCTGTGCCTTGTTCTGTGGGATGGGGCTCCTCCTCCGTTCCCCCTGTGGGGCAGAGGCACCCCCTCCTCATCAGGGGGTCAGGTTGTCCCCCCTCTCTGCTCCACATTCCCATGGGACAGGGACCCCCAAAGGGCAATAATGGAGCAGCCCCCCATGTGCCTGCAGACCCCTAAAGGGAGACCCTCAGGGGGTGCCTGGGCTGTGCCTTTGGGGTGTCTGATAGCACTGCAGGGGTGCCATAAGGTCCCCTCTGTGGGGCAGAGGTGGGGACAGCCCAGAGCAGGGGACAGCAGGGACTGGGCCACGGGCTGGGACCACATCCCCCAGGAGGGGGCTGGGGTGGCACAAAGGGACAGGGACATGTCCCCACCCGTCCTGCCTGGACCCCCTGGATGAGGGGGAGCTCTCGGGGGTCCCAGAGTCCCCAGGTCACCTCTGCTCCTGGTAGCAGCTGGCTGGGAATCAGGCACGTCCCTTTGCTTTCCCGGGGCCGAGACAGGACGCTGCGGGTTTCTTCAGCTTTAAGAAAAAAAAAAAAAGAAAAAAAAAAAAAAAAGAGAGAGACACAAAAAACCAACACCCAGAAAAGGGAAAAGCTGCTTTTTCGGAGTTACACGGGGGCTGCTGTTCCTGCCGTGCCGGCACGTCCGTGCCCTCCCCGCACCCGCCGCTTTGGCAGGGGACGTGCGTGGGTCGCTGGGGACTGAAAACCGACGGGTAAAAATGCACCTCCTGCGGTTTTTGTGTGATATTTGTTTAGTTCAGCCTGTCTTTTGTCTCGGCCGGGGTGCCCGGCGGAGAGCACACACACACACACACGGCTCTGGTCACCTCCCGAGCGGCGCCGGCTCCGTGGGATGTGCCAGCGTGTGTGTGTCCGGGGGTTGTTTCCCCCCCCCCCGTCCTTTCCCGTGCACACCTTTGGCAGGAGGTTTTGGATGACATCTTGCTCTGGCACGCTCCTCGCCTTTGATCTCCAGTTTCCTGCCATGGATAACGTGTTCGGCAACACGCGAGCCCGGCTCCGCAGCTGCCGGGGAGGCCGATGCGGGTGCCTCCTCGTCCCGGTTTTTCCCCAGCTGACTCCTGCTCTCCTTTGTCTTGGGGTGCCGCCAGGACGGGCTCTCACAGCCCAAGGATGCTCTGAACGGAGCAAAGCAGAGCACAACCATCCCCCCCTCCCATCCCTTTGTTTCCAGGCGTTTGCGAGCTCAGCTGGTTTGACGCGGCGT